ACTAACTTTGTGTCTCCTCTCTCCTGTAGTGTGTCCTCTCTCTCTCCCTGTACCTTTCTGCAGGTTGCCCTGGCCCTGGAGCTCTATGTCTCTGACGAGCAGTCACCAGCCACATCGACCTGATCAGTGTTTGATTGTTGTGTCTTGTTGCTTTTCTTCTTTTGTCTCTCCTCTATCCACTCACCCCAACCGGTCGAGGCAGAAGGCCGCCCACCAAGAGCCGGGGTCTGTTGGAGGTTTCTTCCGTTAAAGGGAGTTTTTCCTCCCCACTGTCGCCAAGTGCTTGCTCAAGGGGGATTTGTTGGGTTTTCCTTATGTAATAATATTGATAACAGTAAGGTCTAGACCTTACTTTGTAAAGTGTCCTGAGATGACTTTTTTTGTGATTTGGCGCTATACAAATAAAATTTGATTTGATTTGATTTGATTTGATATTCATGATGTACACTATATTAATTGATTATTCGTCACAAAGTCTTGCAAACAGTTCTGATAAATGTCCATCTTTCTCCCTCTCTTTTCCTCTGCCCACAAATGTTTCCATTCTCCTGCTTCCTGCTGTCTCTCTTTTCCTCTTGTTTGCCTGTGGCATTGTTCCCCATTCCTCATTGTCTTCCTGCTTTCCCTCACACATCCTGTCCTGCTGCAGCTGTCGTGGAAGGAGATAGCTTTGAAGAGGTCTATCACAAAGTAAAGACAGTGATCGAGGAGCAATCAGGGCCTTACATCTGGATCCCCACTCGGGAGAGGCTGTGATGCTGCACCCAGGCCCGACAACCCCTCCCTCACGCCCGCCGACCAACACCGCCCTCCACTCCCATGGCCAAGCCAGCCTCGCCTGCCTGTCTGTCCTCCAGCAAAAGTCAGTGCTTAGGCAATCACTGAGAATGACACAGAGAGACATGCCAAGACAAACACAGAGACAGAGACACACACAAGAAGTGACACAGCGAGGAAAGGAACGATACCAAAAAAAGACGCTAAGACAGATGTGAACACAGTGATATGTAATTGGACTGAAAGAGACTGAGAGAAAAGACTTAATTAGTAATCTACTTTAATGAGGCAGGACTCAGTACTGAGGACCCCCTCGCACTTAGCATTAAAATGCATCTTGGCAACAAGTGCACAGCTCTAAATACAGCTGTGACTGACATGATTGTTCTAAATACAGCTGATTTAGTGATGAACATACCAACTTAGTGTGAAATGGGTTTCTTTTTTGCTGTTTAGTTGAATTTCCTGACAGATAAAACCAAATGTGAAGTGGAATCCGATCACAAGAGATTTCTTGAGAGATTTTTGGATGCATTTTGATGCCAGGTGAACTGCAGCCCATGTCACCTGGATTAGTCTGAAGACACCTGGACACAAAATATTAGGTCTGAGCAGGGTTTGAAAGAGAGGGTGACCCAGCAGGGATGGACCCTGAGGTAGACCACCTCAGCTTCCTCACCCCTCTGAAGTGTCACATCCTCTTCATCCGACATGGAGGTGCCCAAACACAAACACAGGCTCCTTTATTAACAGTATATCACCTCCTGGGTTTCTCCCCTCCTCCTCCTGTCAGCTCCACCTTGTTACAGGACAGGAAAGGAGGAAGACTGAGAACAATGGGTCCAGATCCTGCTGAGTCCCTCTTAAACTGGAGACTTCTCTTGGCGAAGAGTCCTTTTTTTTTTTTTTTTGTGAATCTGTTCTTGGTTCAGGGTGTTAACTCAGAATTACACCTCAGTGACTAAGACTGACATTTGCTTCGTTGCCCATGTTGAATACAAAGCATTATTTAAAGGCAGTTCAAAGAATTACAATGATAAAAACTCATATGCTGAATTTGTGCATGCATCCTTAAAGACGATAGAGACAGGAGACAAAAACAATGGAAAATCCAACTAATAAAAGAAAAATAAGAAGAAGAAAGGCAAGAAAGTAGGGTGCGTTCTCCTTCACCGCCTCGTTATTGTCATGTTTCATGAAGAAAGAAGAGAAGTGAGATGCAGTCATGACACAAGGTCATGCGAGGCCAGTCCTGAGCACAGTAGATGCTCTGACATACAGTTTAGCCTCTGCTATCTGATGCACACAGACGCACACATATGCACACAAACACACACACCTATATTCACCATCTCACACACACATAGAGTTCTAATCTCAGCTGTAACCTAGCACACTCCTCTAGAAGGGGACTGGCTGTTCTGACCTGCTAGTCAGAATCCAGGGTGAATGTTATCTCTCTAGGCACAAGCAGCAGAGCTGTTAGCTTCATCACACCACAGCCAACTCACCCATCACTCTTCCAAAACAACCCCTCAGCTGCAGACTTACACACTGTTTCCTGTGGTTGCAGTAAAAGCCATGGCGTGTGTGTCTGTGTGCTTGTATGTGTGTATGCGCGTGTGTGTCTAGTGTGCGCATTGGTGCACATTCATGTGTGGAAACTCCTCTGTGTGGGAGGAATAGGTCTTATTTTATTCTCTCTCTTCCACTTTTTCTCTGCTTCTTTCTCCCTCTTGTGTCCACACAAATTAAACTAAGTCATGTTTAACATATAAATGGCCTAT